AAAGCGACGAGGTCCCAGAATGGCATCTTCGAAAACAGTTTTCCTCCCGTAGACTTCAAGCATTGTGTTCCAAGTGATCATGTATGCTCTTCGATTTTTCTGAACTCAAAGATTCAAGGATGGAAAATTACAAGATCTTCATGAAAATATCCTACACAGTATTCCATACTGTCTATTTCGAAAAATTATTTTGGTCCTTTAATAGAAATCTGACGAATTTAGATTACGACAAAACGAACAACAAATTCCAATGGCATCTTTCTTGTCTCCAGTGGTGTCTTCTTTTCTTGTGTCCTGCCTGTTTGTCACTGTGGGTTTGATCATCTAGTATGGGTCTAGAGTGGCGAGTGGTAATTTCATCCTCTTGAGCAGCACTGACTTCGCCTCCCACAATCCACATCCAAGGCTTTCGCGGGAATGTGGTGATGGCAGATCAAAGAGCACTAGTAGCTCCTTCCAAGGTCTTCAACTGTTCCTTCCAATACTAGCCACAATATTCCATACCCGAATCCTGTGAGTACGAGGAACCACACGTATGATTTCGTGCTCGTTCCGCAACGGAACCGCTGGTGAAGCCCACGTCGTCCTCTCGCTGGTTGATATCATCCAGCAGTACCATTGATTTGATCAAATGCAAGCTTGGCGGCGTACACATTCCCGTTCCGGGCATAGACCGAGAAAAGAATCGCCCACGAAAAAGAGTCTTTGTTCTGGATTCCATCGAAAATCTCCCGTGCCAGCTCTGCCTTGTTCTACACAAACACATCGTCTGGATCCACCAGAGCCATCATCCTTGAATGGACATCACGCAGTGCTGGAACTGTCTTGCGAGATCTAATCAGCTGCAAACACTCCGCCCTTCCATCCATAATTTCTCTTCAAAGAAAATCACATCATGGAATGCTATGCGAACTTATAGATATAGGCAGAAGCTACAACGTTGAGATGAAGCTCACTGGAAAAAAGTCCATGCAATTGAGAAGCTTACAAGAGGCAAGCAAGAAAGTGTTTCGTTTCTCTATCTGAACCAGGAACTAAAGCAGATGCCCAAACATCCTTTGTTGCCGGGTATACATGTATAAGCTCGCCCGATTCCTTCGTTACTTGTAAAGTGGATTGAAAAGGATTATGCAATGCTGTTCGTTGGAACCTCTACACTCAAAGCACAACAACGCGGATAATTAACCAGAGAGTTCTTACTGTAAGCTTTTTCAAGGATTTGCTACAAGCATGCCTGAATCATCAACTTCTCTTTTGTCATGGAAAAGTGTAGCCTGCAACGACATTGAACAAAAGGTCAGTTCTTTTATCACCAGCAGCAGAAAGGCAAAATGAAAGTGAGAGAGTACTAACTTCCGCACTGATAGTTGTGAGGTAGCTCCCAGTTGCACTGCTTTGCGATTTTAAGAGCGGTGTTGAGCAGATGCTCAGTGATCATTTTGGTGACATCTTTGGTGATCTTGGAACAGAGGCAGTCGAGCTGGGCGCTCCTCACGAACTTGCAGCACTTGGATGACGGTTTGGTTCCAATGAGCACGGCAGTCATGCAATTCCCGGCGAGGCCATTCACTTGGCTATCGCAGTCGAGAGTCGCGTCATCGTCGGCAGCAACCTGGATCAGGAACAGAGAGATCAAGAGCAGGAAAACTCCAGAGCACAGGACAAGAGTCGCCCGGGGCTTGATCGTCTCCATTTGTGCTGCTCCCGCGCCGGAGGACGAAGGAGAGACACTCGACACTGGGGAGCGATCTAGCAACGAACTCGAGAGAAGAGCAGCATTTATCTGTGATCGGTTTCCATTGAAAGGAGTTTTTTTTTCGGATGGGTGGGCTGAGCACAAATCTGGTGCTGCACAGCACGTTTATTCCTAGAAAGCAACCTTTATATATTTTCTTAAACAGAAGTGCTGATTATTTTCGGTATTGAAATAAGCGAAATAGTGGTCTACTCCAAGTATCTTTTCTTTCTTTGAACTTACCTTAATTGCATACGGGTAAAGCCTTCATTCCACTCTACAAACACAAGAACCTCTCACGGAGGAGCTGCGGAACCTTGGGAGTAAATCAACTCGCGAACACTGATCTATCAGTCTCATGCCTCACAGTGGGATAGATAGATAGCTCAAGCACTCATGAAACAGAACAACAAAAAGGCTTGCCTCGAATATAAATAACCAAAATAAAAGGAGAAAAGATGGCATCGCCTGGAACGAGATGATTCAGGCGTATGCCCGGTTTGGGCATCTTGGCCGGGAGATGATGGATCTTCGCCCGGGGCGCACCGACGACGCCTCGCGCATCGACGACGCCTCGCGCATCGCGATGATCCAGGGCGCCGGGAAGCTGGGCAGGATCCGCGACGGAGACGATCTTCGCCAGCGTCACACTCGATCGCGTCGCTTACAACGCGCTCCTCACGCTATGCCCGTGCTGGGTTCGTCGACGCCACTAGGAAGATCTTCCACACTCTGGACGACGAGGAACGAGATTTTTTAAGAGAATAATCTAGCTTTTTAATTCGTGTTCCTTTGCTCTCTCTTTCTTTTTATTTTATTGTAGAATTTGTTCTATTTTTTAAAAGAAAAAATAATTTGGGCGGTTTACAGCTTCAGTGCTCTAAGTTGTATACATATACCTCGCAAAAGCACATTTGTGTAAGCTTCGCAATAGGACGTGAGGAAAAAACATCCTCTCCAACACCACCATCACACTGAAACTTGCAAGCTCCAAGATGAGCTCCCCAAGCAACCGGACATCCTGGCAAAAAGCTTATAACCTGTCGGGCCTCTGTCAGCTGGCCAGTTCTCCCCAACATATCCACAACACAGCTATAGCGCTCCCTGGCATGGATCTATCCCATAGTCAATTGTTGCATGCTCAACAAACACTCAAGAGCTTGATCTATCCATCCCAAATGGCTGCAAGCGACCAACAAGGTCATGAAACTTAGCCCAGAGAGAAAAGGAAAAACGCTATCGCAAAGAGAAGGAGGCCTAATTCTTTCTGACGCTGCCCATCGCTCACCCTTTCGATCGCTAGTTTGGCCTCACTCCTTCCACTGCCATTTCTTGGAAAACTTGATTTGACACCATCTCTGGTGGGAATGAGCTATGGTCAAACACGTCCACGAGATCATGTCTCTGGCCTTCATACGCTGGAACACCTCTATTACTTTGGATCGATCTACTCGTCATGGACAGCATTGATCCAAGCTTTCGTGGACAATCTCAAGGAAGCATATTCCAGAGAGGAACTTGGTAGCTTGGAACTGTCTAATGGTAGTCCTGTTACGAAAAAAGCGCCAAGGGTGTGTTCGATCGAATGCCTGCTTGGGACTCAATAAGCTGCTCAACCGTGCTCGTTTGCAGCTCTCACTATTTGGATGGATCGGAGTCACTGTTTGAGAGAAGACGGGGAGAAGACACTGAGCTCCTGGAATGCAATCTTATCCATGCATTCTGGGCAGGGGGTCCCGTCCAGTGGAATCGACTCGAAGGCTTCCTTGGCTTTGAACACGTCAGATGCTTATCATCGCACTAAAGGTGACGAGAATTTTCATGAGTGAAAATGTAGAGAATCTCCAAAGTGACCGCTTTGAGCATATGCTGTACCCATCACATTCGATGTTACCACTAGTGGCTGGAACTTGGTCAAATAATCGTTTTGTTTCCTCAACACGATAAAAACCGTAAAAGAGACAAGGTCCATCTTCGAAAACAGTGTTCTTGCTGTATTCTCCTTGGGCATAGACTTCAAGCATTGTGTTCCAAGTGATCACGCTCTTCGATGCTTCTGAAAAAGGCTCTTTCATCATCCATACTGATGGAATTACAAGAGATGAGATTCCATCTTGGCGAAAATATCTGATGCCTCTTTGTGAAGCTATAATGGTAAAACACAATTATTTTTCCTTTGCCCAATTCGAGAACATAATTTGGTCCTTTATTAGAAATCTGGTATGAATTTAGATTACGACATTGTATAAATTGATGGACGATTCATCCTTCACAACAAATTCCAATGGCATCTTTCTCGTCTCCAGTGGTGTCCTCTCTTCTTGTGTGCTGCCTGTTTGCACAAGCTACTGTGGGTTTGCTCATCCAGTATGGGTCTACCACAGTGGCGAGTGGTAATTTCATCCCCTTGAGCAGCACTGACTCGCCTCCCACAATCGACATCCAAGGCTTTCGCGGGAATGGCACTGCTCGTCTCCTCTCGGTGGTGATGGCGGATCAAAGAGCACTAATAGCTCCTTCCAAGGTCTATCCTTACATCAACTATTGGATTGCAAACATTCCTGCCGGTACCTCTGGTAAGTTCTTGACGTTCATCTATGATCTATATTGATCTGGTTTTCACAGGACCTGTGACGGCCAGCATTCTCGAGCCTTACGTTGCTCCTTCCAATACCAGCCACAACATTCCATACCCGAATCCTTTGAGTACGAGGAACCACACGTATGATTTCGTGCTCGTCCCGCAAAGGAACCCGCTGGTGAAGCCCATGGACAGCCGTCTCGTCCTCTCGCTGGCTGATATCATCCAGCAGTACCATTGTGGAAGCCCTCTGGAGACTCTTTCGTTCACCACCTCTCTCCACTAGAAGTAAAAAGCTTATATGAATGAATTGTATGGAAGTCGATCGCACCATATCGCTGCACGACGAGAAAATAGCTTAGCACAAACATCCTCGCCTTTAAACTCGAGAAATCAGCTTGTTTGTGGTCCATGAGATCCCCAATCTTGCTTGTAAACGCTCCATTGGCAAGCTTATAGAGGTTGAGGTAGTCTTGTTTCTTCGAAGTTCTGTGATATAATCAGTTTCTTATAGAAAATTTCATTCTCTCGCGGCCACAAAAAAGCTCTGCTGGTCGTCGGATGTTGAGACCTCAGTGTGAAAAATGCCACGTTCAATGCTATCCCTTGCGTTCGTTTTCAATGTTTCCGCACACGCCAACTTTTCAGACAGCGGTCAAACAAAAATTTCGAAGTTCCAAGCCACTAACTTCCATAGTAGCGATACACATATGGCGACGCCACCCCTGGATCCAAACTCGACGCAGCCTCCGCCACCCTTTGCCCCCGATGGGCATCTCCCTGCGTCTTGCAAGCGCCCAGCAAAGTTACCCACGAAACAAAGTCGGCCTTGAACGGCATCCCCCGGATCACCTCCTCGGCGAGCTCCAATTGCCCGAGCCTTCCCAGCATATCAATCACACACCGGTAGTGCTCCAACGTAACCCCGACGTTGTAGTCGCCATGCAAGGCCACGAAGAAGTCCCGGCCGCTGTACAAGAGCCCCGCGTGGCTGCATGCCGTCAAGATGGAGAGGAACGCCACGGCATCCGGCTGCATCCCCTCGAGCCCAAACTCTCGAAACAGCTCCAGCGCCGCGCCGCCATGGCCATTCCGTGCGTGGGCGACGATCACCGCCGTCCAGGCCGTCACGTCCCTGCGCTGGATCCCCTGGAACGCCTCCATGGCCAGCTCCACGCAGCCGAGGTTGCCATACATGTTTACCAGCGCCGTGAGAACGAGGAGGTGCGTGGTAAGATCAAGTCTCGTCCCAGCGCGTATCGCAGCGTGGATGGTTTTGCCGCGCTCCAAGGATCGCACGGCGGTGCAAGCGTCCAGCACCGCGATGAGGGTGATGGAGTCCGGGGCCTCGCCGTAGAGATCCATGATCCGGAAAAGATGGATGCCTTCCTCGCCATCCCCAGACTGGGCATATGCCGCGATCATCGTGTTCCAGGAGATCAAGTCGCGCTCGCGCATTGTGTCGAAGATCTCCCTTGCGGCGGCGACGCGCTGGAGCTTGGTACCGTAGAGGTTGATGAGCGCGTTTTCTACCTTGAGCGGCGATCTCACCTTGGTATTGATGAAGCTCGAGTGGATGAATTGCCCGTTTTCCAGATCCGAGCACGCCTCGATCACACTCAGGAATGTGATGTCGTCGGGACGCACGGGGCTCGCGATCAATCTCTTGAAAAGCGTGAGGGCTTCCTCGCTGCCATGCTTCGCATGAGCATAGGCCGCGATCATGGTGTTCCACGAAGCCGCGTCGCGGGTGGGCATATTCTCAAACAAGCCTCTCGCTACCAAAATATGCCCATTCTGGGCATATGCTGTGACCAGCGAGTTCCACGAAATGACATCTTTTTGCGGCATCTTGTCAAACATTTCCTTCGCCTCGCACAACATCCCTCTCTCTGAATACGCCGCCAAGAGTGTGTTCCACGACACCACATTCTTCCTCGGCATCTCCCCAAACACCCGCCTCGCCTCGTCAAAATGCCCATTCTGGGTATATGCAGCGATCATGGTGTTCCACGAGAAAACATTCGGTTGGAGAATGCCCTCGAAGACCCTCCGCGCGTCATCGATGCTCCCGCACTTCCCATACATGTTGATCAAGTGATTTCCAAGGAAAGTATTGCACCGATCCTGCCCGGCAGTCGCCAAATGCCGGTGGATTCTCCTGCCTCCTTCCAGCGACGAGGAGCGTCCCAGGCGCTGGAGCAGTGACGAGTAGATCAAACAATCGGCCTCGGCATTGTCGGGAGGGAGGCGTAGAACATCGTCGACGCTCCTGGCTAAGTCCATTCCCACTTGTTAGTTCCAAGGTTTGAAAATCCATCTCCAAAACTATGCCCACGTTGACCAAGTTTAATCCCATTTGGTCAACGGCTCAATTAGTGTAGTTCCATTGACCAAGGAAAAAAAGGAAACCAAGAACCCTAGATTTCATGTAGTTATCGTACGAACGCACAGGGAGAAAATAGCTAGCTATAGTTTGTTCCACCAATTGTGGTGCAAAGGTAGAATTGCCTGTTCCTATCGTCATCCAAATTCCATTGAAGCTATTATCAACCATGCATTGGCTACTTGTACAGAGAAATTTTGTGGCCCATTCCTCCACTCACGAATCGCGGCCATGGCCAAATCTGTCCCAAGGACAGGTACTTTGGCAAGGACACCCTGCCCTTACACGCCCATTTCTCTTTCTCTAGCTCCCCTAGCGCGAGAATAAGCGAGGGGTGAGCACGAGCGTGCACGGCTATGGCGACCGGCCAGTACTTCCCTGCCGCGCCTCCGCAATGCTTGGAGGCCGTGGGAATGCCGGCGGCCGAGATCTTCGTTCTTGAGAGACAGATAGATTGATCGATCGGGCAGTGGGAGGGGAAAATTTCGGCCTTGCGAGGATGATCAGCTCAAGCATGAATGTGGTGATGACGGTCTTGGGATTCGCGGTGAGCGCGACGTTCATCGTCTTCGTTTGCGCGCGGCTGCTGTGGCGGCGGCGGAGGCGGCGCGGGGCAGCGGCGCCGGGATTTCAAGTAGCTTCGGTAAGATTATCTCGATTTGGCCTTGGATTTCTGGGAAGTAGCGAGCGCATAGTTTCATGCAAGAGCTAAAATAGTTCTTTGTTTGGTTTCTTTCGTTCTTTTCTTCCTTTGCTTGGTGGTGCTTTAGCTCAAACTTAGCTATCTAAGTAGACCTTTTCTTAGAACTGGTGGTTGATCCCTTTGATTTTCATTTTTTTTTTCAGATGGAGAGGAGCTTGAGTGGACTTGAGCCATCGGTGGTTGCGACATTTCCAAGCGTGAAGTACAACCAGCGGATGTTTTCGCGAGAAGATGCCTTGTAAGCCTTTGTTTTTCGTATATAGTTTGCTCGGCAAGGAGATATTGTCGCTAAAGCGTGTCCTGGTTTATCCTTTTGTTTATGCAGATGTACTGTGTGTCTCAACGATTATGCTGAGAAAGAAATGCTTCGCCTCCTTCCATGGTGTGGACATGCCTTCCACATCGACTGTATAGACGCATGGCTGAGACAACACTCGACATGTCCCATCTGCCGGCTCTCTCTCCGCAGTTCTCCGGACAGGCGGCTGGTAAACTATTCCCAGATGAATCCTCAGATGGCTCCAGCGATCAGATCACTGTTTGATCCAGAGCTCCAGCTCTCTAACGAGATGGAGCTCCAGTCACAGCATCCTCGTCATCCTCAGCAGCAGCAAAGTGTAGTCAGCCAGCAGCAAGGATGGAGCTCTCAAGTTTTCGAGTACGAAGGAACCGGGAACGACCACCAAAGGCTCGTGAGCAGCAGACCAATGAGGCCTGGAAAATGGAGTCTTAAATTGTGGAAGAGGTCGGATAGAGATGACGAGCATGGAGGTGGTGGTGATCACTCTGCTCAGCTCCTTGGTGCTCCTAGCTCGCAAGATTCCTCTGTGACTATCAACATCAACATTGGTCAGATGCCTCCACACGAAGTGAGTGGAGCTAACAATCACGACAGTGACGCCACCAACAGCAACAGATCGGACGTTTCATCCGCGAACGACATGAGTATCAGTCTCCAAAGTCCGGGGTGTGCAAACGGCCGTGATGGTAATTAAAAGCTTTCTTTCCTTTCCGTTTGTTTCTCAGCGTCTCACTCCCAGGTCGACATGACGAGCAGCGAGAGATAAATGTGGACTCGAGCCATCACAGCAGACCCGTGAACCTGTCAATCGAGCTCAACGTGTGTCACGGCGCGATTCTTGGATACTCGGCAGCGTCCCGCTCGTGAATCGTTTCCAAGTTGACAATGCTTTCGCTTTCATGAACGTTTTTTGTTCGTTTCTCGTTCCAGTGTATAGAAGAAAAACGACGACGTCCTTCATTTCTCCCATCGTCGCAGTTCTCTCCCGATTGTAAAGAGATGAGCCATAGGAATTCCATAGTCTCTGACACTGGGATCCTTGTCCGGCAGCGCTTCATCCAGGTACTGAATCATCTCCCGCTTGCAAACGTGATCATAGGCACTGACAAACTCGAACTTTGGTGAAACAGTGATCCTCGCCGCTCGCTCGGTGTCCCCGTGAGCCTCACAGGCACGCTTGAGAATCGTCCAGGCAGCAGCATCAGGAAAGAAAGGCATCGAGTTCACGAGCTCCTCGGCACGATCCAGCAGCTTGGCATTCCTCCCGAGAAGCTCGAGGAGGCAGTGGTAGTGCTCGAGGCCAGGAGGTATGCCATAGTCTCGGCCCATGGAGCTGAGATAGTAGCGCGCCCGCTTCAGCTGACAGGCAGTTAAAACGGCCGTGAAAGCCAGGCGAGTGGGATCGACGCCCTCGAGCACCATCCGGTGAAAGAAATGGATCGCGGCTCTGGGATGCCCACTCCGGGCATAGCCACCGATCATCACTGCCCAGGTGGTGGCGTTTTTCAAGACGAGGCTGTCAAACAAGCGCTTGGCCTGGAACACGAGCGCAGCTCGAGCGTAAGCTCCGACCATCGCAGTGGACGCCGCGACGCACTCGTATGGCGATCGATCGAAGAGCTCCTCGGCCTCGTGGACGAGATCGCGCTGCGCATAGCACTGGATCATGTTGCTCCAGCTGGTCTCGTTCCTGGCGTCGTCCAGAGCGTGGAAGATCTTCCTGGCGGCGTCGACGAGCCCAGCGCGGGCATAGGCCGTGAGCAGCGCGTTGTAAGCGACGCGATCGAGTGTGACGCTGGCGAAGATCGTCTCGGCGTCGCGGATCCTCCCCAGCTTCCCGGCGGCCTGGATCATCGCGATGCGCGAGGCGTCCTCGGTGCGTCCCGGGCGGAGATCCATCATCTCCAGCGCGCGGCCAAGATGCCCAAACCGGGCATACGCCTGGATCATCTCGTTCCAGGCGACGCCATCGAGCTCCTCGATCTCGCGGAGGAGCTCGCGCGCCTGGGCGAGATGCCCGGACTGGGCATAGGCAGTGACCATCATCCGGTACGTGATTGGGTTCTTGGAATGCCCGGGCATGGAATCAAACACCTCCTTGGCTTGATCGAAGAGACCCTTCTTACAGTAGGCCTGGATCACTACGTTCCAGGCGATGTCGATCCTGGTCACTGGCATCGCCCAGAGCATCCCTCGCGCGGTGTCGAGATGATCGCTCTTGACGAGCGCGGTAAACATGATACACCACGTCACGAGCTCCTGGACGGGGCGGCGATCGTAGAGAGCCTTGGCGTCGGCGAGCCTGTTCTTGGCGAGGTAAGCTCCCAGCATCACGTTGCGAGTGTGGGCGGTGATCGTCGGGATCTTGTCGAAGAGCTCTCGCGCCTCGTCGATCTTCCCGGCCAGGATGTAGGCCTGGACCATGAAGTGCCAGGCGATGTTGCCAGGTCTTGGCAGGCTCTCGAAGGTCACGCGCGCTTCTTCCAGGCAGCTGTTCTTGCCGAAGAGCTCGATCACCAGCGTCGCGAGCTCGGTGTTCTCGGTGAAGACGCCGCGCTCCAGGCACAGAGGGAGGATCTTCCTGGCGAACATCACCTTACCTTTCCTCACGCACTCCAGCATCTTGAGCTCCAGCCCCCATCCCCGGTTCCTTGGAGCGAGCGGGTGTTGCAAGAATGGCTTTCCACCCCATGTCTCCCTCCTGCTGTAGCTCCTGGCAAGCACGAATCTCGCAAGAACTCCTAGAGCTCTTCTCCTCGGCAACATAAGATCGATCACCCTCTACGATCCCGCGACTACATTGGATAGAAAAACGATCTGGGAGAGAAAAAATCTCTTTTTGATGGAACTTCTACGTGCCCACGACCGCATTCGATAGCAAAACATACGGAGCGCCATCCTGAGAATCGGAGTCCTGCGCTTGCTCGACTCCAAACGCTGCGAGCTCCAGATTCCCGTGGATCTTGCAAGCGCCCACGAAGCTCGTCCACGCCACGCTCTCGGCGCCAAACGGCATGGACTCGAGCAGCTCTTTGGCGTCGAGAAGCCGGCCAGCTCTGGCCAGAGCATCCGCCATGCATCGAAAGTGCTGCGCGTCCCACTCCACGGAGTAGTCCGAAGCCATGGACAGGAATACCTCCTTGCTTTCGGCCACCAGGCCGATGTGGCTGTGAGCCGTGAGCAGCAGCAGGCAGCTCACCGCATCCGGATCGACTCCCTCCATCACCATCGCCGCGAAGAGCTCGATCACTTCTCGAAACAGCGCCCTTCTCGCGTAGGCCGACATGATCGAGTTCCAGGAGACGAGATCTCTGTCCGGGACGTTGTCGAAAAACCACCTCGATTCTTGGATGTGTCCCCTCTGCGCGTATGCTTCCGAGACGATTGTCCACGAGACGGTGTCGCACTGCGGCATTCTGTCAAAGAACTCCTTGGCGCTCTCAAGATGGCCGGTTTGAGCATACGCTCCGAGCAGCGCGTTCCACGACACTGATCCCCTGTAAGGCATGGTGGCGAACGTCAGCTTTGTGTTTTCCAAGTCTTCGTGATCAGAGTAGGCCGAAAGCATCGTCTGCCAACACCTCCAACTTCGTTTCGGCATGCGATCGAATATGTTTATCACTTTCACAAGATGCCCGTTTGTGGCATTTACTGAGAGAAACGCTGTCCAAGACACTGGATCTCTTTCCGGTATGCGATCAAACATAACCTTGCTGTTTTCCAAAGAAGCGTTCTCCGCATGAGCAACCACCATACTCGTCATTGCGACAGTGCTTCTTTCCGGCACAATCTCAAACATCCTCACAGCCTCCACAAAATGCCCAGCCTGGGTATAAGCTTTGATCATCGCGCCCCACGAAACATCATCCCTCCCAGGCATCGCATCAAATACCATCTTCGATTCCCTCACCAATCCCTGCTGCCCAAACGTAGAGACCATCGCATTGGACGGCACGATCCCCCACTCTGGCATCCTCAAGAACAAGCTCCTCGCCCCATCCAGATCGCCATCCTCGCTATACGCCACAAGCATCGCGGTCCACGGCACCACGTCGCGCTCCGGCAGTCCATCGAACAGCGCCTTGGCGTGCTCCACATCCCTGTTCCGCGCAAACGCCACCGCCATGGCGGTCATGGTGAGCGCGTCCCAGCCCGGCATCCGGAGGAAGACCCCGTGCGCTTCATCCAGATCGCCGTCCTGGGCATGCGAGTGGAGGATCGTGGTCCAGGAGACCTCGTTCTTGAGCGGCATCGCGTGGAAGAGCTGGCGCGCGCGATCGGCATGGCCGTTGGTGGCGTAGGCCGAAATTAAGATGTTCCAGGAGAAGGAATTGGGGCGGCGGATGGTGGCAAACACGGATCGAGCGTCGTCCGGGCTGCCGCATTTGCCATACATGTCGATGAGGAGATTGGCGATGAATCTGTCATCGGCAAGATGGATCGCCTGGAGCCGCGAGTGGAGGCGCCTGGCTTGGAGGAGATCGCGCTTTCTGGCGCAGGAGATCACGAGCTGGGCGTAGGAATCCGCTGGATCGAGGCGCGCTCGAAGGAGGGACATTCAAGTGGAGGCATATTCGGGGTTTTAGGGTTCTTATGATATTCTATGATCTAACGGCTACTATACATTTAGATTAATCTCGGGGATCTCACCGCAAATCAACTAGCGTCTGCGTAATAAGTTCGCAATAACGGAGGACGAGTTTTCTTGTGCAAAATCTAGCTCCTTAAGTTGGAGCCTTTCATCGCCCTCGTCACTGCACAGCCAGGGAGCGATCCAACTTCGAAGATTTCTCTCTCGGACGCTGGAACGCCGAAATCAAACTGCTCGAGACGAACTCCCTGATGAAGATAGGAAGGATTCTGGTGCAAGAACCTGAAAAGAGCCAAAGTAGAAAGAGATAAGAGCTTCGAGATAAGTTCTTGCTTACTCGTTCATGTCTGGCAGAGAGCGAATCCTGGCTTGGCATGGAGAGAGATAGTATCTGTGACGAAACTCAACCTTGTTACGAAAAATCTGGTAGAGAAGAAATGGCAAAAGCTTACACGTCGCATAGCCTGGAGCTTCCGCTGCCACGAAGAATGATCTCCCGGATCCATCCCCGCGGCACCGGAGGTGGAAGTTTGAGCGATGGTTTGAGAGCATTCTGCGGTACTCGTGAACCATTTTTCTTGTTCAATGCCCTGGCGCTTCTGTCACGGTTTCTCGACTGCCTGACGCATCTCTGGAGCACTAGCTTGGAAGGAGAATCGCGTGCTCGTTTCTTGCCTGCGACGTAGCTCTTATCAGCAGGTTGTGGTATCGTGTAACAAAACTGGTCTACGCTCAAGTCATAGTACTCGGGGTGATCTTCAAGGAACCTGGAAGAACAGTAAACATCCGATAAGTTCAGGACATTCGAAGTTAGTTCTAAGCCACAAGTAGTAAAAAATCTAGTCTAGAACTAGAATAAAGGATGCCTACCACGTCTAGCAAGGTTTGGAGGACATCTAAGCTAGCTATAGAATCTAAGCTTGCTTATAGTAAGCTATTGCTATAGAAAAGGAAATCTAAGCTAGCTATAGAATCTATAAGCGAAAAGGAAAATCTAAGCTATAAGGTACGAGAAAGAAACTTACTTTGCAACCTCGACCATGGAGCGCAGCTTCTTCCCGCAAGGAGAAATGTAGTATCTAGGAACCAAGAAGAAAAGAAGTGGGCGCTCGATCGAGAGAGAAAAAAGATAGACGAAACTTACATGTCGCCAAACCTGGAGCACCCTTCGCTGCGAATGACGAAGTCGCGCTTCCAGCCGGCGGGCGTCTTGGGCAGATTGGGCTTGTCCAGCGCCCACAATCGATCATCGCCCTCCTGCTGGATGTCGCCCTTGATGTCGCAACACGCATCGGGCCTCCAGATTTTGGCGTCCTCGCACACCCACGGATTCTCCAGCACCCGCGCCCGGATGGATTCGTAGACCTCCTCGCTAGGCACCAGCCGCCATTGGCCGCAGCGCGAGCATTGGACTGTGTAGGCCTGGACCTCCGGCCTGGGGCCCTTTCTCCGCGTGAAACATCGCCTCACCTCCGGCGCCGGGACGATCGATCGGCCATCCTCTGCGGTGCTGAGCGGAATGGAAAGGAGCGATCGCTCCTCCGCCAGCGCCAGTTCCATCGGATGTCCGCCTCTACCTAGGTTTTGCGGACACGCGCTGTCCACGCGAGACACTCGCATTGGTGAGCATTTAAATGTTTACCATACAATTGCTCCCTCTGTGCAAAAGCAAAAAACAAAAAAGAATAGGCCAACTTTAAAAATGAATGAATTATTTATTGTGTTATGTTTGATTTACTTGTTATTTCTATTTATTAATCAAATAAGAATTTATAATTGTGAGGGCCAAGTGTACAACTACGATACTATATATTAATATTAGCATAATGGGATTTTAGTAGCCATCGAATTGATTTCAATCTGGACCACTTGCTTCTGTATATAAGCTATGGTTTTTGGGTTAATTGATATGCACATTTCTGTATTCCCTTTCCATATTCCATGCACTCACATTAGTAGAGTTAAGGAGCATCTTTGATTGTCCCTGAAGAGTGCTTGGATTTGGGATTTTTTATTTAGATTTAGCTTTTACATCGTTTAGATCTAGCTTTTTCTATTTCCTTTCTTTTGTTCTTCCCTTTCAGGATTTTGGTTTAGATTTAGCTTTTTGCATTGTTTAGATCTACCATTTCCTTCTGGCTTTTTGTCATTTCTCTTCTTTTGTTTTTTTTTTTCATTCATCTTCATGGTAGATCAGCAATCTCCTCTTTTGACTCTAGAGCAGCAGTTGGTCCAATTGCTTGATGTTATGTGTTTGCAATTGAACAACCGAACTCAATTGATAGTGGCATTCACAGCACGTGGTCCAACTCCTCTTGCTCTTAGTGCTAATCCTTGCGTTTGGCCGGAGTTCTTTCGTGGGAATCTTGGGGATGATGTGTACCATTGGTTCGATCACTTCACGATGATTGCCACATATCATTTTTGGGATGATGCTCGATGTTTGGGTGAGTTTCCCACGTGTCTCCAAGTGACGACGTTGTAGTGGTACAATGGATTGAGCACGGCCACTCGTGGGGATTGGAGTGTTCTTCCGGACGTCTTCAAATGCGCCTTCGGACATACTGACAATTGTGATGATGCCTTCCAATAATTGCATTGTCTTTGTCAAGGGCCATCTGAGTCAGTGATGCAATTTAGTGTTCGTTTTCGAAGTCTTTTGCTTCGTGCGGAGCCCAATATGTCAGAGCGGATCAAGCTAGGAATGTTGTGGCCAACACTTCATCAAGATCTTGTTGGACTTGTGCATACACTTGCTCTTGCCACCCTTGACGATGCTCTTCACCTGGCACAACGTTATGAAATGTCGCCTCTTCCACTTCTCACTACATGTCCTTCACCTCCACTTCCTATGAGTGATGGTCTTGTTCCAATAGAGGTTGATGCTGCTGCTACTCGAGTCCAAGGACAAGGGCGAGGACGTGGTCATGGCCGTAATGTTCGTTGCTGAGCATGTGATGAAGTTGGTCATACTTATCGGCGTTGTTAGCACTTTCCGGATTGGCGACCTCCATTTCCTAGGTGGAGACCTTGACGTCAGCAACATCCCATTGGTGCTGTTGCAATGGAAGGTTTGGACACCGCGGTGCATCCAGGAAACAAGGAGTCGCGTGAGTAACAGAGGGACCTTGTGCGAATAAGTTAGTGACCCCTCCATCTTTCTTTCAGAAGTATCATCAAGGGGTTCACTTGGCACCGGTTCATCCAGTGTTTACTTTCCAAGCTCTTTTTTATAACAAGATGTCTCCTATTATTCTCTCTGTATTGGTTGATACATGTTCGAGTTTATCTTCTATTGCTCGACCTGTTGCCACACGTTGTTGTCTACACTTGCGTTGTGCAATAGACCCAGTTTTCATTCTTTATGGCAACAGCCATACACATGCATGTGCACAAGATGAGGCGGACCTAGTTGTGCGTGTGGGCGATTTCAAGCTTGAGTTGCAGTCATTGCAGGTGGTGCCGAGTCAAGCTTTTGACCTCATTCTTGGTATAAATTGGTTGCAGCACAATCATGCCAAGTGTAACTTTGAGACCTCTCCCCCTTGTCTCATACTTCCTTATGTTTCATTCATTCCTCTCACTTTCGTACTTCTTTGTCCCTATACTTTTACCTCTGCTTCCATTACTTTTGTTCCCCCACTTTTTCCTCCTATGTTTCCATCTTGTTCTGCTCTTCTCTTTTCTGATCCCTCCAACGATCTTTGTGTTGAAGCTATTGATCTCTTCAGAATTATAGACCCACAGCCGCATCATCGCGCACTCATAGGCATCCTCCGGCCGCAGCCGGACCTGCGGAAACTGGTCTTCGAGATATTCGAGGATGACGTTCGACTCGATCAGGATGCGGCCGTCATGATCGAGCGTCGGCACGACCGCCTTGGGATTGAGCTTGGTGTACGCCGGCTCGTAGTTCTCGAAGCGGAAGATGTCGACGTGGACGCTCTCCCACGGCAGCCCCTTCTCGGCGAGGCACATGCGCGCCTTCTGCGA